CAAGCTACTAGACTACGCGCATGACAGAACACCGTTGGTGCCATGGAGATGTTCTAGAAAGACACATGCAGAAATGGCTTGGGGAAGAGAGGGTGTACCCTGTTGATACGCACACATTAGTGTATCGGGGGGAAGCATAGTCTGCATCCCCGTCATTGCCTGGGGATGCTTATGTTACCAATAGGCCTGGTCCAGAACAAGGGAGCCTCAAAGTCATCCGATTGATCGCTGAGGGGGCTTGCCTTGCTTGAGCTGGAAGGACGGAGGGGAGGGAAGTTGACATCATAGATTTGAAAATCAGTGCCACTATATGCAAGCAACTAGCGGGTACTGGATTTCCGAACTACCTAGGATAGAGCAGGGGTGAAGATGTTTGTTCGGAACCTTGACTGCATTAGAGAATGATATGCAAGGCATTGTAACTCCCTGACCTCATGATGCATATGCTAGTCCCTTAAGTGCCATAGGAGAAGACCACCCGTTTCGGAGGTCGATGAGTGTTTGTTATCATATGTTGTCGGGGAGGGAGAGAGAGGGAGGGGGCGAGAGAGAGAAGTGTGTGTTGGAGGAACGGTCAGTCTGGGTCATTAGACAAGGTCACGTAGCACAGGAAGCTGATAATTATTCGCGTAGCACAGTCCCCATCCAGTGGACTGACCAACCCCATCCAGAACACTTTTCTAATTCTATGGGTAGTATAGAGGCATTTCTGCAGCTCATGGCGTTTCTGAAGATCTCACAAATGTTGTAGGAGATTTCTGCATAGGGGTGCTCGCATGTCATTGAGACCCGAACCTGGCTTGCTGCACAGAGCCAGCCAGACTCAGTCCAAGGATAGTTCAATTGTTGATATTGCTGCGCCGAATTGGCCCCAACGGCTGTGCAGGAGAAGCATCGGCGGGTCGTGATACTCAAGCTATCTAGTGGCAGTAACCATAGGCAAAATAATAATCATTATAATAAAGACTGCAATGATAATAATGATGATAATAATAATAATAATAACAAAAACAACAATACCCGCTTCTTACATTCATGAGTTTCGGACTCCTTCCGGAAACTCCGTTCTGCACCCCGTGAAAGCCACGCAGAGCATTTGCTTTTGATTCTCCTGAAGGCTTGATCAGACCAAACAAGCCCGAGTTGACTATTCGGGTAGTAGTATTCGCACAACCGGCATAGGAGTCACTTAAACGAGGCTAGTCCAGTGGAAATCTAGCTCATGCCTAGTTTTAGCTGCTGGATTGACTCGATTAGCTGCAGATGTGGTGCAGTAGTCAACGTTGCTAACGCCTTTTCCGTGGTAAGCAGGATGGCCTGGCCGAGCTTCAGGCCCGCAGCCGAACCTCACACGGGCCACCAAGAGCGAGGTCTTCGACTCCCGCGTTCAGCCTATGATAGCACAGCAGCGTTCCACAAATATCCGCCACTCCTACCTACCTAGGCAGTCCGTCCTGCCGTAAGATGCGACTAAACTAGAGGAGCTTGGAGTACTCCGTACTAGCATGAGTAGTCTACCAGACAATAATAATATCACCCGAGTAGGTTTGTGGAAGAGGGGGGCGAAATGAGGGTTCTGCCGTGAGGTCCGGGGAGGGCACGGGCGGGAAAAATGATAACAATGATAATAGTTATCTACACATTACAATAGACGGAATCCGCACTTTTCCTAATCCCCTTGCTACTTCAACTACTACGACTTGTCACTACCTCTCTCCTTAATAGCTTGCTATCTTTAGATAGTCGGAGTCTCCTGCGTCGTCTGATCCCTTAGGACGGAAATCAATCCATCCTGACTGGGAGTGGTGGGGGGTTGCGCGCAGTGTTTACAAATGGTGAAAAGCGCGGGCGGGCTGTGTCTTGGGAAGCACAGGACAGTCTCAGCCCAGTGTGTCGCCCGTCGCCGCCAAACACGTAGACTACGACTAGTAGACTAACTAGCGGGAGCGGCACAGCTCCTTAGCAAGGTAAGTAAGTTGCCTGCTGTCCGGGTAAGCGAACCACAACGCTGTAGCGGAGATTTGCCCCCCATGCCGAGGCGCCCCAGTCTACGGACGGTATGGAACAGTTCCCACCAGTACAAGAGGAAACAGCCCGCGCTAACTTGTGCACAGTCCGCTACCTCCTGCGACTAATTCTCTGGGAGAGTCAGCCTAAGGAGCTCGGAGTGGAGACTCTGCCTCCTCGGTCTTCATGCCAACTTGCGCCGTATTAAGTAGTAATAATTACTACTACAAGTCCATACATAGTAGGTAGGTAGTATTGATGACTACTATTAGACTAACTAGACCCAGCCCGAAACCCCCCCCATTGTGATTTCCCTGTTGCCTTTGTATTCAAACTTGTGCAGAAAGTACTGTAATGCTCGCTTAGTGCTTGAGTTATTCTCGTCACATTACATTGTCAAATTACAAAAAGAGAGCAAGCCCTTTGGAGGTTTTGACCATTATGATGGCTTAAGAGTAGCATGGTAGTAAGTATATGATTGAGTTACACACACGGCTGACATTCCGATTGACGGCATGAGCTGCATGACATTTCCGCATCTCTGATGGAAACGGGATTATGCCCTACTAGTCTTACGGTAAGAGGTAGTAAGTTTACTTACTAGGTTGATATCAATGGATAATCTTGCCGTCGACGGTTCCAGACTTTTGATATGGAGCGTCGGCTGAACAGTGCGTCGAAATCGTGGAGCACCTAGCTCCTCGCTGTACACGGGAAGAATTACAGGTATTCGCTATTATTGTTGCTCACCCACACCCCCCCTATCCTGTTCAAGGGTGATCGGTAATATCTTCTTTTGAAGCTACGCATGAAGTCGTAGAATTCAGCCCGGAGATTATGGGAACGGCTAATACGCGCACTTTACTATGCAGTGGCACCTAGTACTAACTCGTTTAGATTGTGGGGCTTTACTGGTAGGTCAAAGTAATGGTGTGATATTCTTCCGGGCTATCCTGTGGCTTTCTGTTGACACTTGCAAACTTTCCTCCTTCCCTCAATTAGTGAGAGGCCACAGGGGATATTTGGCCGACCGACGGAATAAGTATACGCCACCTCTCTCATGAAACCGCCAACAAAATTACACGAAGACATAAGTTACTATAGATTTACTCCTTTCAGGTCAGTATTATCTTGGTATGGGGCACGCAAAACGACAGACAAAACAACCTGCGCTAAAATCCCGGACTATCTTAGCACTTAAATACACAGTAGCAGTTCTGCTCCGAACGCGTTTGAATGGATCCTCGGTCATTCCCGGGTGAGGGTGGGGAGCTCGGCGGAGGCAAGTAATGTCCGTGCAGCCGAGATAGGTACGCGTCTGTTTCAGTTACCTAGAAGATTGTTATGCATGTTGTGTGGCTGCGTTTGCGAGGAGCTAAATCATATCCTAACAGCAGTAACCACACGAATGTACACATTGAAGAACGCCCTCCATACTCTGCAGAGAGGCCTAGAAATATACTATACGAACTTGGTACTAGGGCCGCGGAGGAAGACGGAATACAATTAGGAAATTGTCAAAGCAATGCAACGTCGCCTTGTTTATAGTCTAGTCTATTAGCTTATGGTGAACGGCTCGAGACGGACTAATTCCATATGAAGCATGGGGACCGATAGTGCTTAATATGAACCCTTGTAAAGATACCACATGTAAATTGCGCATCAATCTATGTCAGTATATTGGAACAATAGAACCTCACCTTCCCAAACTAGTAAGGGGAAAACTCCCCATCTGAACCCCTTAGGCAATTGCATCAATATTCTCCTTGTCCTTAGGTCAATATGAGTCTCTTTACAGTGAATAGAAATATTAATCTGTGAGTCTTTCATTATGGTATTGTATGCACGTAGACATACTACATCATGTAGAGTGTGTTCACCATCTTCCTGCTAGCTGCTTATTGCTAGTTAGGTGATCATTTAGCTTAGAATCCCGAACCTCGTTCTAGTCCGGACGGTAGGGTGTAGGACTGCTTGAGTGGAGGAGCCCCGGCCTAGCCTTGGGGCACATAGCCGTTTAAGGTGACTTGCAGGAGGGTTGATTATCATCTGCAGCCACTAAGGCTGGTGGGTTATCTGTACCAATAACTGCGAAGGAGCAGCCCGTATGATGGCTGGCCGTGGTTCCATCAGCATGCGTCCTCGATGCCAAGATAACATTGACATATTACCATGCGAGTCAAGTCTTTATTGGGAAATAGAGCTCGGGCCGCACGTTCATTGTTACTAGCGATCCTAATCGTGTGTATGTGGAGTTATTGTCTCTATCCATGCTCTCGAAGAGATTACAGCGGTCCCATAGATGATTGGTTGAGAAGCCCGAGAGTCAACTTACTACTACTAAGTAAGTACTTAGTACCAAGTACTAGTACTACACGGTTTGGTTCTCTATGCCCTGAATCCGTCCATGGCACTACTGCTAAAGTAGTATTTGTTGGTTACGCCTAAACTATATGAGTAGGATACTCTTGTCAGTGTACGTAAGTGAAGAGCTACTGGCAGGATTCACATAATAAATGTCCAAATCATAGTCCCACGACGGCTGCTAAGACCAGTCGAACACCAATCATGGCTATTACTCCAAATTTGGTTGATGGCGAGATAGTAGTCGATCGTTAGCAAGCGAGACGCATAACCTCCATAGATATCTGAGATCTACTAAGCAAGCCACAAGCTGCATACGGAACTCCGTGTCTACCGGGTGGGGAGGGACGGTTGGCCGAAGAGCCCATAAAAATGCCGCTTTGATCATATGCGGCCCCAGTAACTTCGCGAGTTAAAAATGTGAGGCAACACCAGCATTCTTGTACAAGAGCACATGTGCAGGAGCTGTGCTCCGGAAAAGTGAATAGCTATGTCAATGTGATCTTCCGAAGCACATGACTGCTCGGGACTGTGACTCAAAGGAATCTTTTTTAAGATATACCTTACAGCGTACAGATAAATTCCAGCTACTCAAAAATCTCATCATGGCTCAGAGTTGATAGCCATATTCTGATTTGGTAGGCCAGAGACCTCTGTCTCGGATGAACTTTCAGCTGATAAATGCATGTTCTCGGAGCCGACCATGCTATGGGTCATGACATTACTAGCTGAGAGACAGTGGTGTGTCACTGTCTGGGGAATGGTCTCGACTTCGTATTACTTCCAGCCTATGGCAGCATTTGTTAATGTTAAACCCCACCCAAGCTTCGTGATCCATTCTTATTTAGCGGGCGACTGGTTGTGGGAGGCAACGAGTGCAGGTAGTGGGCTTTAATGAGACGGGGTTGGGAGATCGCCGCTAGGATCACCGTTAACCTGAACGTTTTTGGTTTGAGGCCAATGAGGCCATAGCTACCACTGATTCTGTATTGTGCGTAAGTTCCCCAGCACACACTGTCAGTGGTGTTTAGGGGCCCCGTTCTTTGCTTTTCGCCCTTTCCAAGTATCACTTATTCCATGTATACCAAAATGAATTCAATGTCAAGTGAAACTTCACCATGGATTAAGGTTTTCTAGGCAAATATCTGTTTTCTCCGCGATGGACAGCTGCCCTCATATTGAAGGGGGCATGGGGGATGGTGTGCGTGTGTGCCAACCTGTTGACAAAATTGTAGCCTAGTGCGCAGTAGCTGGAATTGCTTAGCGAGGCACGCGGTCCCGTTCAGTGTATTTTGTTACATAGCTATTACCGTTTCTTCGCTTTGAGATAGTTCGCCTTTTGCAAAAAGTGGGATTCCGATATGCGAGATTCTGTGCTTGGCCTGTAATTTAATGGCTAAAAACTACCACTACCATGTAGTAGAGATGCTAAGTAAGTACGAGAAGATAAAGAGATTCACGTCTGGAATGTGGTGAGAAATGGTCATTCGGTCTTCGGGTTATTTTCTTTCCTAGGGACCTTTATCTCAAAATTCCCGAAGAACTTTGGAGTGGGTGCTTATCTTTCTCCCTTTCAATCTCCATGGTCGCAGTATCATCGCCTAGTCTACCATAGTTAACATAACTTTGTCCGGCTGACCTTCAATATTATTATGGGCTTGAGAGGCTCAAAGAGCTGTGCTGATCGGTACAGGCTAAAAAGAAATTAACGAAAATAAAGAAAAAAGAAAAAACAAAAGCCATGTGCCATGAATAAACCAAATGCCTTTCTTTTCCCTTTAGTTGCGAGAACCACTATCTTTATGCCCTCAACAGAATAAGAAAAGAATCCTGAGGGTGAGATGGTAATATGTAAACTAGTAACCTCAATTATTTCCACATAATTTCGGACCTCTGGAAAGGTTTGTTGTCCTCTCTGACAACTATTTCATTTATTTTCTTTTTCCCCATTCGTTTTCCTTCCGATCGGAGCTTCTTGTCTAGGCCGATGGTCTGCTATGTTGGCTATTTTAGTTCTCACCAATGCCATTAGGTAGTATGCAGCTGCAATCTGCACCTGGATAGAATTAGAAATTGTATGTTGTTACAGGATCAGACTCCTCGAATGATGATTTGAAGAAATTACTATGTCGTCACTGCCATGTATGCAACAGCTCTGATTCAATTTCGGTAGCGGCCATCTCTCCTTTGATTCTTTGAAAATCCCGGGAAATTATGATGATAGCAAGCTTGACATGTTAATTCGGATTTAATGGTAATGCTTCAATAAGGGGAGCATGTTATTTATCTTCACATAGACGTTAAATTACGCATGGAATTCGGAAACAAGTGAGATTTTTTCCCCCGTTTCCTCTATCTTTTTGTTTCTTATCCTTGTTGGTTGATCATCCAGCCGACAAACGAACTCTGCCCCCCCACCACCTCTTACCAAGTATTATCTAGGTGATTTTGCCTGTCGGCTCATCGGCGTCACTTGCCCATCGGGAATGATGAATGAGCCACCGATGATTTTATGTTAGGTTTATCCAATCCTTTTTTTCCCTTTTCGTTTTATGTTTTTCTCCGTCTGATTTTTAATATTTCATTTTCGTCATTTTTCTCAATATCCAATATTTAATTGTTTATGAATTTTGTTTATTCCCATTTAGGGTTTTTTGCGTATGACTCTGTATACTTTGCCCCTTTCCATCTATTCGGTCCACCTTGACCAGGGAAGGAAAGAGGCGGAAAAGGAAAGAAAACGAAACAAAACAGAATGATAGAATAAACGAAGACGAAAAAAAAAAGAATAAAAAAAAATAGAAATCAAGGAAGAATAAAAGAGGGGAAGTAAGTCCAGAAAGCGAAGATGGAGAATGTATCATCCTGTTGCAGGGGAGGAAAGTGTGTGTGTATGACCATGGATGGTGGAGTGGAAAGGAGGGAGGCATTTCTCTACTCAAGCTTCGCTCTGGTAAAAGTACCTTAGGGAGAGGTGGCTAGTACGAGGAGATACTGGGCCTACTCCATAATAATGACTCTCGTGTTTAGGAAGTCTATAGCGTCCCGGGCAGGATGCGCAGAACAGAGTGGACTAGATAGTGCTAAGGAGGTACTAGGACGGACCGGTTAGTACGGAATACTACACCCCCAAAGGCCCCAACACAGTTAAACCACTGCGAATTTCGGAGACGCCCACTAACGTGCTTTTAGCTCCTACTTTAGCCTTAGAAAACACACCCACACACCATCAGCAGTCTCCACCCTCTCTGGCCCATGTCACTGCAGTGGACTGCACAGTAGCTGCATGGACCGCCGCCAATCCTTTCTCCACCCGCATTATCCTCCATCAGTCCATCTAGATCCAGGGTCTCTGACGCACGAGGCAAAAATACACCTGCATGACACTCAAAATGACAAAGGAACTGGAGCCCACAAGTAACTTATTTATATTTCTCTCTAGGGATTGGCTCAATCCATTGTCTGGATGCCGGACTTGAACATGTGCCTTCCCTGCCATTCCGTGCCATCGACTCCATCTGCAACAAATAAGAATCCCCAATGTTGCATGTTCGCCCATAGGCACTCTCATCTTCTGTGAAGCCAATTGACCTCAGAGCTGGTCTTTCAGTTTCTTAGAACTTCCTGACGAGGTCTTGGGCTATCTTTATACCCAGACATTCGTTCATCCTGTTCTATCTTTTTTTTTCTTCTTCTTTCTTTCTTTCTTTCTTTCCTCTTTCTCTGCCTCTACCTCCGTCCTCCTATCCTGTTCATCCTACTAGGAGACCATATACCCATATTTTCTCCTGTCTCTCCTCAACTTGTCAATTATCAACAACACTTTTATGCTGGCAGAGCGGTGCTCAGCATTTTCGTCATTTTCTTTATCCCCCGATAACGCGCCCCTGTGAGCACAGTGCGCAGTGCCAGTCCCGGTGTCTGTAGCTTGATCCAGCATTGGCGAGAGATTGGGGACGACATTCGGAGTGAAGTCTATAGCGACCGAAGCAATCAATTGGTTTGAGGAGTGTAATCCTAGGCCTGATCATATCGCTTCAATCATGGAGTTTCCGTTCATGCGAGCATTTATTGCCCTCTTGTTAGTATTGACCTGAACTGGCCTGAAGCTTACTTTTGATGTATCACCAGTGGTTGAACATCTGATTGTACCGAATCTCTCCAGCTGACTCTCCTGATATATAGTTTGTATCGCTACTTCCGTCTTGTTGTGAATCTCTTTTCTTTCTGGACGTTCAAACCAATTCCTCCGCCGGAGAATCCGAAGTTAACTGCCCAAGATGTAACGGTTATCTTACCAACGTTAGAGGGATGTGGTGATGAACTCGTGGAAACCATAAGAACGATTCTCGACACCCAGCCCTACGAACTACTTTTGGTCACCATTGAAGCGAATCGACAAAAAGCCGAGAACATGCTGAGCTTGATGCCCGCTTCGAAGTCAAGAATCCGCTTGTTCACCGTTACTCACCCCAACAAGCGCCGACAAATGACTAGAGCGATCCCTGAAGTCAAGACTACTATCACGGTCTTCGCAGATGATGACGTGAGTTGGCCACGCACAGTCCTCCCTTGGATGCTAGCACCTTTCGAAAAGGATGAGCGATTCGGTGGTGTGGTAACTTGTCAACGCCTGAGGCGGGCCGTTTCGCCATCATTCTCTCAACGCATATGGGGATTTCTGGGTGCACTTTACTTGGAACGGAGAAACTTTGATTGTGCGGCAACAACGCATATTGACGGTGGACTTCCCTGCATGTCAGGCCGGACAGTCGCATACAGAACAGATATCCTTCAGAATGAGGGGTTCACGTATGGATTTACCAACGAAGAATGGTGGTTCGGAAAGTACCAATTGAACGCAGACGACGACAATTTCATTACCCGTTGGATGGTGTCGCATGGCTGGGAGACTTACATGCAATATCATCCTGAAGCGGAGGTCTTGACAACTCTGGAAGACAACCCCAAGTTTCTCAAGCAGTGCGCGCGCTGGTCCCGAAGCAACTGGAGGAGCAACCTTACAAGCATGTTCCACGAAAAACACATCTGGTAGTAAGTCTACCCTATCTGACTTGTCTGGTGAGCGTGCGTAATGCACACCGGGATGAGTGTCTATCTCCTGTTATCGAATGGCCTTTCATTCACAAACCCTGCTTGCCTCCCACATCGTTGGTCAACGACGCCGTTGGATGGTATTCCCCTTCATTCCGATTGTCATTTCCCAGATCTTTACAGACATAAGGAACTGGCCGTCGGCCTTGGAAGGCTGGGTCGTTCCTAGTCTTGGTATCCGACTGTGGAAAAAAATTTTTTTTTTCGTCGTTAGGCCGCTTACTGTAAATGTCTGTCTGATCCGCACGCTAACGCTTGGTTTACGGTATTACTAGTCGCCAGCCTTGGAGCGCATACGCTGTTCACTTGACGACGCTTTCGCCGCCAGCTTTCCTCGGCGATTTATTGCTCCTTATACTATGTCACAAGGCTACGGTTTCGTGGGACAATGATACGCACGCGCTAGCTATGCAAGCTCTCGGACTGTGGATGTTTATTAGCAAGTTCATCAAACTTCTCGGACATTACATCCGTTACCCGGTTGATGTTATCCTTTTGCCGGTGTCCATCCTCTTCGGCTATTTCCACGGAGCTATTAAAATATACGCCGTGCTAACTCTGAATGTGGTAAGTTGCAGTACCCCAACACAACATGCGTTCTGGTCCGTTGTTTTGTTTCTACAGAGGGTGCATGCGCAAGTGCAGCCTAGTATCTTTGGGCGACGCTTGTAGCTTGGAAGTGGGCTCTAGCCCTTGGCCTGCTTCCGTGCTCGACACCCAACCCCTCCCATAATGCAATTGCATTGGCCATGGGCCTCACCTCATCCTCGCCCTCCCTGTATCCACCCACGGCCTTCCCCATCTTGGTAACCCGATTTTGCCTTCTGCATCGCTTTGATTTCTACTTCCGATTTCTTTCTGCACTCCGGCCTTCCACTTTTTTCTTAGCTTGCTTGTCGCTTTTGTCGGGTTTCTTTCCTCATTATTGGTCTCATTTCCTCTTATCATCTTTGCTTCGCTGTCCGAGTTTAGTACGGTGGCTATTACTTGTTCCGTCTTATTCTTTTGGCCTTTGATTCTTGCCTTTTCACGCAACATCTGGCCTTGTTGAACGATGACTACTCCTTGCTATTTGACTCAGATTTGCTAACCGAACCATTATTTTTTCAGACCACATGGGGTAGCAGAGACGGTGCCGATGATTATGATGCGGAGCGGATGAAG